GCATGGCTCGATCCATGATGAAGGCCAAGGGCATGCAGACAAGGTTTTGGGGTGAGGCGGTGACCACGGCGGTGTTCATCCTCAACCACGCGCCCACCAAGGCCCTAAAGAGCAGGACGCTGTTTGAAGCTTGGTATGGGCGCAAGCCGAGTGTGTCCTTCCTCCGGACATTCGGATGCATCGGCCACGTCAGGAAGACGAAACCAGTCCTCACCAAGCTGGAGGACTGGAGCACACCGATGGTGCTCCTGGGCTACGCGGAAGATACCAAGGCGTACTGGCTCTACGACCCATGGGGAGGCAAGGTGCTTGTCTCGAGCGACATCGTGTTTGACGAGAAGGCGGCCTAGGACTGGAACAGTCCGAGCACGGGGGAAGCTGGCGGCTTCACCAGCACCTTCGTCGTCGAGCACTTGGTCATCCACGGTGGTGGAGATGCTAGAGAGGAGGTGCCAACCACTCCAGCAACAGAGCTGAGCACTCCGGGAGGGATGCCGAGCACTCCGGGAGGGGGGCCGAGCACTCTAGGAGAGGTGCCGAGCACTCTAGGAGTGATGCCGAGAAGTCCTGCAGTGGTGTCGACCACTTCAGGACGGGTGTCGAACACTCCCATAGCAGAGCCGAGAAGTCTTGCAGTGGTGCCGACCACTCCAAGACTGGGGCTGAGCACCCTACAATGGTGCCGAACATTTCTAGAGTAGTGACGATGGGTCCAAGAGTAGTGCCGAGCACTCCAGGTGCTGCGCCGAGCACTCCGGCGGAACAGGGAACTCCATCGATGTCGATCGAGTTCGCCTCACCTCCAAGTGACATCACTGAGTTCGTGGACACCTTCCACGATGGTGAGGAGGTGCGGTTCCGCAGGCTGGACGATATCATCGGTGGCACAGGGCCCTTAGGCCTGGCGGATAGGTTGCTCAATAACCCAGAGCTGCTTCTCGTCAGTGCAGAGGAACCACCCACGTTCGCGCTAGCCGAGCACGATGGAAATTGGCGATGGGCGATGCTGGAGGAGATGAAGGCGATCGAGGAAAATGAGACTTGGGAGCTCGTCTATCCACCTCCAGGATGCCGTCCGATCGGCCTGAAGTGGGAGTATAAGGTCAAGCGGGACGAGCACGACGCCATTGTCAAGCACAAGGCGCGCCTCGTCGCCCGAGGCTTTGTCCAGTGCGAGGGCATCAAGTCTGCCCGACTTCTTCTGGCTTTGGCAGCAGCAAAGGACTGGCATGTCCATCACCTGAACGTAAAATCGGCCTTCCTCAATGGCGAGCTGACGAAGACGGTCTTCGTCAGGCAACCTCCGGGTTTCGCCATCAAGGGAGCGTAGCACAGGGTGCTCCAACTGCGCAAGGCGCTCTACGGGCTGCGGCAGGCCCCGCGAGCGTGAAACGCCAAGCTTGACTCCACACTGGGCGAGCTTGGGTTCACACGGTGCGCAACCAAGCACGCGCTCTACATGCGGCGACAGGGGAAGGAGGAGCTCGTCGTCGGCGTGTATGTGGACGATTTGATCGTCACCGGCACACGTGCGGAGGACATCGACAGCTTCAAGCATGAGATGGCGGCTCGTTTTCGAATTAGCGATCTCAGCACGCTCTCCTACTACCTCGGCATCGAGGTGAAACAGGGGAAGGACGAGCTCATGCTTGGTCAGAGCGCGTATGCCTCGAAGCTGTTGGAGCGTAGCGGCATGGCTGAGTGCAAGCCATGTGTGACTCCGATGGAGGAGCGGCTGAAGCTGACGAAGGCCAGTACCGCGGCGAAGGTAGATGCAACACTCTACCAGAGCATCGTCAGTGGTCTGCGTTACCTAGTCCACACGAGGCCGGATATTGCGTTCGCCGTGGGCTACGTCAGCCGCTTCATGGAGGATCCTCGAGAGAATCACTGGGCTGCCCGGCACGAGAAACAGCCCGACAGGCCGTTAGTCGTGGCGTGCTTTTTGGGCCAGCCCGGCACGAGAAACAGCGCGACAGGCCGTGCCTGGACCGAAGGCCAGGCCCATGGCCCTAAGAGGCACGGCCCGGGGGGGCCGGCGTGCCGTGCCGGCCCAACCCCTATCGGGCCGTGCTTTCACGGGCCCGTGCCGTGCCGGGTCGAGCTAGCCCATTGGCCATCTATGGGTAGGAGTACATCCATGCATGCTACATATTTAATAATTCACTTCACTAATGTAGATATGCCACATAGCTTAAGTCTCCAATCATAAAGCCTAGAACTTCATCAATATAAACTAGAGCATGAATTAGAGCACTCTCTAGCGCTTCACAAGGACGGTCACATGCACTACCATAAATCTCGAACCATGGAGACGACGTCAGATAAAATAGCCTGTAGAAAGTGAGATGAGCCTGGAGCTTGAAATCTCTAGTGCGTATTGGGTTTCCATCGGTGTAACTATAATTCAACACATCCAAGACTCGAGCCAGAATCGCATAAAAGCTCATTGCTGCCAAGGTTTGACCAAAGACATCCTAAAAGAAGAGAATAACGTGATGAAATTTAAAAGATGTAACATAATTAAAGATAAAAGGATGATTAGATTTGTGTTCCATACCATCAGCTTGTTCGTTTCGGCTTATTCGCTCGTATCTGGCTTATAATTCATGGCTTGAACAGTATTTTTCTCTCACACAAAATCAGCCAGCAGTACTTTTAACCATGGATTATAAGTCGATTCAGCCGAAACGAACAGACTGCATGTCATGTTGATTCAGCTGACAAAGCCTCTCAGTAGTCCTAGTCACATTGCTCGCCTTTATTTTATTCAAAAATATGAGAAGTCTGGTACAAAGTACCCATGATCCTTAAGCTGTTGTAGGCAGGCCTTCACGGCGGTCCTTTCAAAAGTTACCCTACTTAGTGCTAATTGACCTCATGCGGCAATTTAAACCATCGGCATGGCTGTCCTGGTACTCTCATCCGGTTGGCCTGTGTTTCTCGAAAAAATACTTGAAAAGAGATTTTTATTTTTAAAATTCCGTGGACCAAACTATCTCGTATTGCACTAAAAGAGAAGTACCACCTAGAGCTTCGACAACATCTTTCAGCCATCTAATATTGTTGATAAGCTACATTGTATGTAAGTAAATTTAGGAATTATTCATGTGTAGTAAAAAAAAACTAATTACAAGAAGGAAAGAATATTACTATGTTGGGAATTGTTATCCGCTTCGATCGCTTTTTGGCAAGTCAATGACGCGATTAGGGAAGTGAATTCCTGAAGGACAAGCCAACGATGGCTCCTCGAAAATGTAGTGTCCACGGCCGCCACCACCACGGCGGCCACCTCCACGGCCGCCACCACCACGTCGAGAAGAACTTCCACTTGCCATAGTTAGACCAAACTGTCCAAATAAAATTGTGATAAGATAATTTGCCACCATTTTTCTTAACTAGTCAACTTTGCCACTAATAATACATTGTCATATGCGCACATCATATACATTGAAATAAATCTAGACGATTATTTCATAGCCATCCACAATTCTATCACAATGCTACCCGTGAATATCTACATGTCCTCTAAGAGATATAGCTTTTGTCCATAATTGTATCACAAAAAATAATTACTTAGCATCCAATACAAATCGGTATTCAATTCAAGCAAAATCATAGCCATTTTAATCTAACTAGGTAGCTTGTCCGTGTGTTGCTACGGGATAGCTAACAATTTATACTAAAAACATACGGATCGCACGATAAGATCACAATATTGTAAAAATTAAATATCAACATTAAAGTTACAGGTAATCCAAAAAGCGAAGTTTGTGAAATTAACAGTCACGGAGAGCACGGCGTCACATGCTTACAAACTCTACTTTATAGACCTTTCCGTGATGCGCCTAAGATAATGTTTTACATCGGCAGAAAAAAATCTCCGATATCCATTTCTTTTGTACGCCAATAAATCCACGAATAAGTTCCGCCGCATCTCCATACCATCCTATACACAGGCTCGAGTATATATGTCAATATTAGTGCCTGTCTCAGGGGTAATACTGCAGTCTCTTGAAAAATCTTCTACAAAAACTTAAAACAAAGTGTTATACTCACCGGATAAATATATGTGGCTTTTGGTCTATTCCACGTAGACATATACTGTAGAATAAGATATCCACTTAAGTGTCTATGGTAAGATTCACGATCAGCGATATATAGAAATAGTTAAATCGTAGGTATTATTATTGCAAGCCATAGTGACTCTGAGTGAGTTACCCATCTATGTCCTCTGCAATGTTTCCTTCCCGTCTGAATTTTCATTTGAAGACATCCTCATTCCATCAAGGAATATGTACATTCACTACGTCCGTGTACTGCAAGGTAAATCCAAGAGCAATCATGATAAGCATCTTCTCCTTCTGATCGAAAACATAGAGCATATACTTTCAAACGTGCAGCCATGGCAAAGGAAACTGTAAACATGGTAGTGTTTAGAATAGTATATAGAAAACAAGTAATAAAAGCAGGAGCAAGCGACTTACGTATCTGCATTGTGCTAAGATGTATTCTATATCCTCACATACACCAATCGCAGCAAACATTTCTTTCTTAGTGTATTTTTTACGGTATTCTAGCATTTTTGTTAAAGCACACATTTTCTGAAAGAGAAGGATATCGAGAGTCAGGATTAGTACAACTTAGCCTACTTTATACAATTAGGAGAACCACAAATAAGACAATATAATATAGCACGGTAAGAATTTTAAAAATGTGCTTACACAGAATCTCAGGTTCATGTGATGTTTCGTAATACTATTGTATTTTTTTCATTGTATTGTACTCTCGAGCTGTCTGAAAACGGATACCTAAGTTGAAATAGTTCTCAAAGATGTCTCGATTGTTTATTAACAACTCTTGTAGATTCTTGACACTTGGAGGGATGAAAACCTTTAACCCAAGGCTTCCTACAAAACATTAGACACAGATGATGGTTTTCGTCATATAAGATAGCACACTATTATTAGTAAATAAAGTAATTAAAATAAGCATGTAGCTTACTTCAACGTCGCTTCATCCTGAATTGCCATGACGTAATCATACAGTAACTCAGTCATCTCTTCCTTGTTCATTGGCATATCTTTCATGGCCTCAAATGCCCAAAACTCATCAGGGTCTTGGTTGGTATGGACTTGTGGAGATTTATTCTGAGTTTGTATATGTTGAGGGGTGCCGGTTTGAACCACTAAGCATTCGGCCTCCTCTGAATGTTTTCTCTTTTTCATGGACACTTGATCAGTCATCTTTGGATTCTCTATTATGGCATGGTCGCTTGGGCTTCTAATATTTTTATCACTATCAAGATATGGAGCACCCTTTCGTTTGTTTAACTCTGACGATAGCAAGATCGCCGCAAGCTTCAATCTAAATTCTTTCATATCATCTTGCACGATAGTATGAACCTAATTAATTATTAATTAAAAACCCACAGCTAGTGCACACTCATAACTTGTGGTAAGACGCATAGTTTATCTGATTGAACTCATCTGACAAATCGTTCCCAGTCCAATACTCCATAAAGTTTATTAAGAATAAACCGCATGAAAAACTACGTATAACAATAATAGAGGTTCAGGCTCACATTAGATCAAAAAGGCAGACACATAAAATTCAACTTATATGACATGCCATTATTTCTGACCGTACCCATCTGTTTGTAATAATTTGCCATGGAAAATCTCCCTAACCGGCCAGGTATCAACCTCAACATCTAGCCATTTGTGCTCTTTCGGGCCTGTCTCCTCCAATATGAAATCTATCTATTTCTGTAATTCACCTCGCTATTGGTTCATAGAAGAACGAATCAATCAACATTTTTAAAATATAAAATGTGTACAAATAGTTGTGTTAGAAAATACCCACAATTTTATTGAGGTCAGCACAACCGAATATCTCGCCCAAAGAGTCTAGCACCTGAACCTCACGTTTGTCGGCGTTTATAACAGCAAGTACCAATGTGTATTTGTAACATTTATTGGAAGGAACACCTATCAAATCAAACAATAAACATTTGCCAGACATAAAATTTTGATAATGAAAGACCAATAGATCGTTTAAAAAAATTACTACCATGTGATGCTTCAAGTAAGCTAGCACCCTTTGAACTAAACCAGGACGCTGTGAAGTGCCATCGTTAGGGTAATTGGTTTCAATGGTCTCGTCATTTTCTCCATCCCGCTTCATGATTGTATCTAAGCACGCAGTTTCAAGATAGACTGTACCTCCTGGCCTCTTTTTCAAACCCTTCTGGGCCTCTAGTAGTTTAATATAAGTATCTATGACCTACATACATTTTGCCATTAGAGAGAAAGGGCATTGAAGTTGGCAATGTTTGATTGAGTATTATGACTTGCATCTGTTACCTCGTCAGACAAGTATTCATATGGCTGAAAAAGACATTCCATGTGGTTTCTCGACACCGGAATATCATCTATGAGCACAAGTTCCTCATTCCTAGGTGAAGATGGAATTTTTTTGACAGATTCAATTATGCCTCTATCAATATCGGTACAAACATAATCTGAAAAAGAGGATTAAATTAAAGTATACAACAATAGTTAGCAATTTTTCTAGGTTAATCCATCAAAGAGAAAATATCAATACCTTCTGGGGCAACCGGTGAAGACAAAGATTTTTTGGGTTTATTTTGTACGATTATGATTTCCGAAAGTCCTTTTTCTCCTGTCGGATCTACCCCAGAAGTTGATAGGGCCTTTTCATCATGGGCCGTGCTTAAGCCCTGGTCAACTGGTAGAGCTTCGTGGGTAACTTCTGTACTCATGCTTTCTTGCAACCATTTAGAATCATCCATAGGCTCACTGGAATTTTCTATTTGTACAATATCTTTTAAGAGGCCTCCATTTTCCTTCGAAACATTTGCATCTGAACTATCCATCGAGACCTAAAAGACGTACATATTAATTTTTTTTAAATAATTAAGGTATATAAAACATGGATGTCATTAATTCAGAACTAAAATGATATATAGCTATATAAAATTATATTGTCTTTGTTCTACTTTGTTTTTAAAAAAGTATTATATACTCTCAGTTTAGTTTTCTAAGCACTAATAATGAAATCATTTAGATTTGTTCTATTCAATTGAATAACTAAACAAAAATAGCGATAATTATTTAGCTAATTTAATCAAACCCTAATTATGATGTATTTTTATATAGCTATATATCATTTCAGTGCTCACACCAGACAGCTTTGCCTCGGTGTAAAGCAGACAGCCCCGAAATAAATAAGAACGGTTTGGTCCCAAATTAGTATGAACGGTTAACTGATTATCGAACTAAATAATTTAGTTGAGGGATATCAAACATGGATATGTACCTTAATTAATTAAAAACATATTCAATTATTTTAAAACGGCAATCATGCCTTGTATATAGTATCAGATTTTTTCACAGAGAAAGGAATGGTAAGGAGGCAGACCTGGACTGCAGGTAGCCTTGGCCAATGGTGTCGTAACCAGCCCTGAACGACTTGTGCTAGCTGTCGATGCACCGTTGCCGGCGGCAGGTTCGTGGACGACGAGGCTTGCGTTGGAGATGGCGTGAGGCCTGAGGGAGCAATGATGAACCAGAACCACAGAGCCTGCAAATCTGGGACCTTAATATATTAGAAATCACACGGCTGGCGTTGATCCTCATGGAGACAAGAGGCAGAAAAGAACAATTAATTAAATTAAGTAGTACATGAATTTTCAGTATACAGTTAAAACAGGATTGAAGATCACGGTATACCTTAGGCCAATCGTGGGAGGACCAATGGCTGGCTGTGGAACAGTGATGCAGTCCACTGGACAAGGGATCCGAGGCAGGTTTGGCGGTCGTGGTGATGCATGGTATTCGTCTCCTCCTGCCGCTGAGAGAAATCACCGTGTATTGGATAGACGGAGGTCGCCGCCGGTGGCTGGCCGTATCGCCGAGGTGGGATGATCAGGGCAGCAGACACTCGCAGGCCCTTGGTGAATGGTTGTCCGCTGCAGGTAGCCCCATGTCAAGGCTGGGAGTGGGAGGTGAAGAAATTATCGGTGTTGAGCTCGGGCGGCAAATGAGGAACGACGACAGATGGGCATGGAGAGGTCCTTAAAGAAAAGAAAAGAAAAGAAAAGATGGAAAGGGTGTCCACGATTTTCGGAGCAGTTGATTTTGCATGCAGGCATGCGGCCGATTTGTGAGGGGCGCTGATCTTGCGTGGTGCCGATTTTGCATGGAGGCGACTGCAGCTGATCATGAGCAACAGAAAAGGAGAGGAAATCGGAAATATCCGGAGGAGGCGTGGATCCTAATCATGCATGGGAAATTAGCAGGAGATTGCCTCAACTTGAATATGAGGTTATTGTGTGTACTTTTTTTGCGAGTCTAAGAAATATGGAAAGATCTCTACACAAATCTTGCACATGTCGCAACACATACAGATTCAGACAACCAGACTATAAGTGCGTGGTGTGAGCAAAAGTTTGGCACGATACTCGAAGCGAAACGTGTTGAAGTGAGTGAAGTCTAAGTGAGAAATGAAAGAAAATAAAGAAATGTTTACTCTATAATATTATTTAATTTTAATAGTATTATGTATAAATGTAGATGTAAATATAGATTTCGTATTTTTAAAGTTTTAGGACATTGCAACATATGCACAATAACAATAATTTTTAATTGAAAATAAGAAAATCGGCATCGACCTGACGAAAACGACTCCGGCAAGCTGGGATCTGGGATGCGAGAGTCGGAGTTACTTCCTGCGGGGTGGCGACAAACGACTCCGGCGATCTGGGATCAAGGCGCTCCCTACATACGACGTCCTTCAATCACTTAGTAGTACGTACTACGTGCTAGCTCAAAGCCGTCCGACCACGTGTCAAAGTCCCAAGTTGTATTTTGGTTTTCAAACTTCATGACCCTGGACCAATCTAACCACGTGTTCCCGACGGACCGTTCAAATGTTTGTTTTGAAACAAAAGCGCTAGCTGCGCCGAAGACTGCGAGCGATGGTGGGACGAACGGCCGCTAGGGCGCTAGCCGACAATGGCCTTGTGCCTCTTCTTGTTAGGCAGATGTCGGAAGTACGTTTTCAAGGCCTTGTATCATCTTGATGTAGTGCTTTGAGAATTTAATAAGAGCTCCCCTTTATCAAGAAAAAAGAAAAAGAAAAGAGAACAAGACTTTACCTCCTATATCACAGAAGTGATATTCAAAGTCTGCACATTGTTTGACAGGTGTTTGTACATCAAACATGCTCCAATCATCACCCACGTTGAGATTGTTGCTTGCTTCAGCCCACAAGCTGGTATATGGATCTGCCAAACCAGAAATACACAGGAGGCTCAGCATCGTCTTTAATTTGCATGGCTACATATTTAGGGCAAAATGAGAGATGCAAAGGCATGGTGCAAACCAGGTAACAGGAGGCGCAGGTCGCGCCGCCGATCTTGGTCGCGGACGGCGGCGATGTCTCACGGACGCCGGCGATGTCCGGAGGCGGCGGAAGTGCAGGTCGCGGCGCCGTTCTTGGTCACGGACAGCGGCGATGACTCACGGACGGCGGCGATGTGTGGAGGCGACAGAGGCGGCGGAGGCGCAGGTCGCGGCGCCGTTCTTGGTCACGGACGGCGGCGATTGCCGGAGGCAGCAGAGGTGGCGGAGGCGCAGGTCACGGCGCCATTCTTGGTTGCGGACAGCGGCGATGTCTCACGGCTCACGTACTTCCTTCTGCGGGCCGCGACGGGGATACGACGCCTTCCTTCTGCGGACGGCGGCGTTGTCCTATCGCAAGGGAAACGACGCCTTCCTTCTGCGGACGGCGGCGATGTCCTATCGCAAGGGATACGACGCCTTCCTTCTGTGGGCCGCGACGTACGCACCGACGCCTTCCTTCTGCGGGCCGCGACGTACGAAGCACGATGCCTTCCTTCTCACCTTCCTTCCTCGTACGCGCAAGGGATACGACGCCTTGTCTATAGGCAACGACAAATGCGGCTTTGTTCCGACGTGCACAGGCTGATCACGATAGAGATGGAATCCAATCAATTTATCGCACGGACCTTCTCACCTTCCTTCCTCGTACGCGCAAGGGATACGACGTCTTCCTTTTGCGGGCCGCGACGTTTGGTCGTATCGCACGGATGGGAGGGAAGAGCGACCCAAAAAAAGTCGTATAAAAAAATTATCTTATTTTTGTTCTTTTTAGTTGTAGAAAAATCATTTATGTAGGAAAATCATTGATTTTGCACGGAGGGGTAGCAAAATCATTTTAATGCATCAAAATAAAAAAATATCGAAAAAAAGAAAACCTAACCGGGGAGGGCGGGGGAGGGAGAGGCGCAGCGGCGGCCCGCGGGGGAGGCAGGGAAGGGAGAGGCACGGCGACCGAGACGGCGGCCTGGGATGGGGTGGCGGTGTTCTTGAACGGGACGACGATGACGACGACGGAGCTGGGGATGGGGCGATGGCGACGGAGCCGGGGATGGGGCGACGGGCGATGGCGACGGAGCCGGGGATGGGGCGACGGGCGATGGCGACGGAGCCGGGGATGGGGTGACGAGCGACGGTGATGGAGATGGGGACGGGGACGGGACCGGCGCGGCAGCGGTGGGCGACGGCGATGAAGACAATGACGGGGCGGTGGTGGTGGGCTAGGGCGATGGGGACGGCACGGCGCAGAGGGAGGAACTGCTAATTTTTGGAAACTGCTAAGTGCTTGGAGAAGACGAAGTATTTGTAGGTGGGACACTTTAGAACCGGTGCTAGACTTTGTCCGATACTAAATTCCTCCATTTAGTACCGGGCAGGACTACTAAAGTTGCTAAGTGGCAGGATCTGAAATTAGAGGCATTTAGTACCGGTTTCAGCGTTTGGCCGGTACTAAATTCCTCCATTTAGTACCGGGCATGCTTCCATCCGGTACTAAAGTTGCCAAATTGGCGGGAGCTGAAACTGTCCGCCTCTAGCAGTTTTCTTTCCTGCGCAATTCTAATAAAATGTTTCAATCACTACGACAAGGTTGTCACATGTATATATGTATATATATCAAATAGTAGAGATAAAAATTCATCACAAATATTAACTAGAGTACATTACATATGAAATTCATCGTACATATTAAATCTTACATAAATGAGATACTTAGAACCTAGGACCGTCCACATCGTGACCGTTAATCATCGCAATATACAAACTACAATTTATATCGATAATGTCGATTCCTAAGAACCTATCGACATAATCTAGCGCATATATTAAGTCTTACATAAATGAGATATTTAGAACATAGGATCGTCCACATCACGACCGTTAATTTGGGAGACAAAAAGATACACCAATCCTAAAATAATGGTACAACATGAGATCTACGAGTCCACCACTACTGGACTCGCATGCTCTAGCCCTCGGCAAAGTAACAGAAATCCTCGACAAAGGCTTTGCCGAGGGCTGCCCTCGGCAAAGACCCCTCGGGGAATTTTTAGACGGCGAAGGGGTCTTTGCCGAGGGCCCTTTATCGGGCACTCGGCAAAGCCTTTGCCGAGGGCCAGAACGGCCCTCGACAAAGAAAAGAAGCCGTCACGCGCCGGCGCCGTTGGCGGTTTCTTTGCCGAGGGCCGACCCTCGGCAAAGAAATGGTTTTTTTTAAAATTTTTTTTGCCGAGGGCTGGCCCTCGGCAAAGAATTTTTTTTTAACCTTTGCCGAGGGCCTCCTCCTTGGCCCTCGGCAAAGAAATTTTCAGGATTTTTCTAAAAAAATCTTTGTCGAGGGCTATTGCAAGGGCTCTCGGCAAAGGTTTTTTTTTTAAAATTGTTTACTGAGGGCCGGCCCTCGACAAAGAAATAGTTTTTTTTTGAAATTTTTTTTAAAAAACCTTTGCCGAGGGCCTGCTCCCTGGTCCTCGGCAAAGAAATTTTCAGATTTTTCAAAAAATCTTTGCTAAGGGCTATTGCTAGGGCCCTCGGCAAAGGACCCTTCTTTGCCAAGGGCCTTGGTCATTGCCCTCGGCAAAGAGAGAAATTTTTTTTTTTTTTTTTGCATTCCATCGACACAAGCATTTCATATATATACATATATATATATCACACAGAACCCATTTTCTCACAATATATCACAACCATAATTGTGAACCACAAATCACAATATATTACAATGACAAGTCACATGTTTATCATCATTCACATGTTTATTACGACAAGTTAATGAAATCCAAGCACAAGTCACAACCATAAATCACAAATCACGCTAAAGTCCAACCACATCACCTAGCACGAGTCCTCATCAAGCTAGCCTATGAGACGATGGTGAAGAAAAAGCAGGATCACCCGGTGACGCACTAGCGGGTTGATTGGAACCTGCGGACGGAAGCTGCACAAAAGAGCAGAGATTGCATGTGTGAGTAATCCGGGAAAACAGTTTTGGAACTTAGAGATTGCATCTAGTAATCTAGGAATACAAAAAGATTAGACTCAATGGAAAATTTCGGCAGCACCTCCCCTGCACGGGGAGGTTTCCAAAACCTGCAAGAAACGACGGCACGAACGCCGACATCCACAACGGCCGACATACATGCAAAGCACAAGCGAAAAGTAAACTTTCATACTTACAGGAGTAGCTGCAGGAGTAGGAGGTGGAGGAGCTGAAAACTGCACAGGTACACCCGATGCTTGCCCAAGACTTTGCATGATCACCATCATCTCCGCCATCTGCTTCTGCGCGGCCTCGAATGCGACCTTCTGGGCCTGCAGCTGTGCGGTCAGCTCCACGTTCTGCTCTTGATTTTGCCTTCTTGTTTCTTGTAGCTCGGCCTGCAATATTTCACTCCAATGTATCAGTAATGCAAATCTAATTTAGGTGTGTAAATATCTACGTACGACGAGTAAAATAGGAATTACCTGGAGTGCTTGGACCTGCTGCAGTGCTGAAGAAGGCCGTGGACGTATGGGCTGGCTGGAGCTCGTGCTCCGTGCTCGGATAGCGTCGAGGGAGGGAACAGTGGTGGAGTCGATGGCGCCGTCTGCAATCCATAGCCGCCCGTGCTTCTTGCCTCCTCCGAGCCTCATGATCCCCTCTGCATCAATGGGCTCAGTGCGCATATTGTAATCTGCCCCATAGATCTCCCTTATCGTTGACGTGTACTCTTGGACTTTAGTGTACACGTTCGGGTCGGAGTACGCCTGGGGCGGGGCAGCCGGGTCGAAGGAGACAGAGGACGACGCCCTGCCCATGTGGGACATAGCCCACGCAGAGAACTCCGAGACCTCCTCGCCCGGGTGCGCAGCCTCCTGCGAGAAAGATGGGAAGATGGTGAGAAATCAAGCAGAATTGAGCGTCAAAATAAATGAAAGAAATCACTTACGTATGCTTGTTTGTATCCGGGGAGGCTACGGCTACCTTGATGGTGAGTTGGACCTTGCCTCATCAGACGTTGTTCCCGCTGCCTCTCGTGCGTGTCAACAAAGTCCTGTGATAACCACTTGTCCACGATCATGGCCCAGCACTCGGGATACGATCGGCACCACCAGGAAACCACCTACAAGTCATCGAGTATTTGACATATAAGAAGATGAAATTGAACCTACTTAATATCAAAACGAATCATTATGAATGTTATTCGTCTACCTCAAGGTACTGGTCCCGGGTCAGCGTAATCCGTCTTGCTTGAGGCTTAGGGAGGGACTGCCTAAGTACCGACCTATAGTAGTCTATGTGGGCCTAGACGTGCCCATGGTGGTGCATCCCGGTGACGTACTTCCTACAAGCTGCGGTAGCCGCCCAATCCGCCTGGGCCTCAAGTCCTTCTTCGGTCTTGAAATATTTCTGCATACAAAACCGATGTATCCATTCATTATTTCAATAAAAGATTTAACCAATGAATGCGATGTATTAAGCAATGTTGTGCGAGAGAGACTTACCCAAAACTCCACCAATACTCGCTCCTGCTTGTTGCGGTAAGTGTCATCCGTGACCAGCGCATACCTGTCCCAGTTGGAGGCCAACTCCCGCACCACCAGCTCTTCGGACAGTTGCACAATGCCGGGGTACCATTTCCTGCATAAAACACCAAGGATGCTCGCGGGGGTGCGTGCTGGAGTACCTGACAAAACCAACCAGGCCCTGCCCAAGTGATTAAGAAAATTTATCAGTTTCTCTTAAGATTTCCAACATATCGTATGAAGTAGTTGTGATAACATCCATAGTTACTTACCTCTTTGCCATAGGCCGAATCACTGGGCGGTTGTGAGGAAGTGGAACCGGAGGGAGGCTCGTGGGACCTCGCTCGTGAGATGGTCCCGGGTAGCGGTACCCTCTCCCTCGCCTCGGCGCCTCGCCTCCTCGCCTCGAGCCCTCGGCTCCTCATCTCCTCGCCCGTCTGCTGACCCCTCTCGTCCTCCGACGAGGATGAGGTCATGGCCATCACGTGCTCCTCCTCCAGACTCGTCACGTGTCGAGGAGGAGACCGCCTCCTCCTCGGCGGCTGCCCCAGTCCTCCTCTCGTCACCTCTCCTGACGCTGCCCGGACGATGACCCTCACCTCGAAGGAGCGGGCGGTCTCTCCCAGAAACCGAGGGCGTGTCACGGCATGGACGTCTCTGCCCATCTTTGTCCAATCACCGCAATCACAAAGAATGAACAAGACTAATTAGTACATATATTAAAAATAGATTCAAAATATATAAACAAAACACAAATTAAAAAACCATAGTATTACATGTATTAGGAATAATCTTCATGATTGGGATCATAGGTCTCATCATCACTGTCAAAATTGTCCAAATGGGCAACACTATCCGAAGGTTCTATGTTGTCATCATCGTCATTGCCTAGAAGTAATCGCTCAAGCATTGCTATGTCCTTGATATTTACCACCACATCTCCATCGACCTCGTCATCAACTGTTTCGTTGTCTACTTCCATTTCGATTGCTTCGGGTAAGACTATCTCAAACATGCCTGGTAGCCCATCTTCTTGATAGAACTGTCCATCATATGTGTTTGCATTGAAGTTGTAATCATCATCGTTTGGGGCAGGTAGTTTACCATGTGGAGATACCTGGTGCACAATAGCCCAACCCTTAAGATCCTCTTTGTCTTGGTTGGCATATCGAGTATAATACACCTGCACGGCCTGTTGAGTCACAATGTAGACATCTTTTCCAGGATAGATGGAATTTTCTCGAATCTCGACTAGCCCAAGATGAGGGGTTCGTCTCGTTGATCGAGGATTAAACCAGTGGCATTTGAACATGACAGGTTTAAGAGGTTCATCTCCATGAAATGAGAGTTCATAGATTTCCTCAACTCTACCATGATAGTCGAGGCCATCAGTGTCGGACGTACAAACTCCGCTATTTGTGGTTTTTCGTTTGGGCCGAATCTGCTCATAACTTGTTGTGTGGAAGCGATATCCGTTCACGTCATAGCCGGTAAATGACTTCACCCTAACGTCACAGCCGTTTGCAACCTGTTTCAACTCGTCGCTCATGGACGAATCGGTCTGGGCCTGCAAGGTGAATCATGATAGATCGTTATATTAATCAAACATACGATCACCTTGGA